TCTTACCGCTTAAGCTTATATCTTTGCTTACGTGAGCTGGGTGCTATTTTCAGGACTGTTAAAAGCAATATTTTGCTTATTTATTTGTTTTGTGACGAAAGAGGGGTATTAATGATCTTTAATCTTTTTTGTCTTTTCAAACAAACTCATTAGCCAATTGATATCTGCTGACACGCTCTTTTTTGATGGCGATTAAGTTGGCCGAAAAAAACCTGTTTCAATGGCGAAACAACTGAAGGATATATTTTGTTAATGAAACGATTTAACTTATTTGCCTTCTCACTTTTGCTAATTCGTTCGTCGACTTCGTCTTTATAACACCGCGTGCAAAAGGCTCTTTGTTTGGGATATTAGTACGAGGATTTGATATAAAGAAAACCGAGTTCAATACTAGAAGATATGTTCATTGGAGGCGACACAGTTGAGGAAATAATGTTTAACGTATTAATTATCTTAACGAGTTTGACGTTTAAAGACTCAATTCTATTGTCCTTTTAAACTTTGGCGCAACTGACGTTGACACTCCGGGAGAGGGGTAAGACGAACGTTAATATCTGAGTCGTGCGCGCGCTTTTGTTGACTCATTCAGTACCTCAAAAAATTGAGTTAAGAATTTAACGGGATAAATTTATTTATTCACCTTAGTAATATGTCAGGTCAGTAACTGTGCTCACATTGTGGGTGGTTAATCTTAAAATGTTCTGCAATCGGTAAGTTAATGGAGCGGGAAACCAGTATTTAATTGCACGCTTTCTAGACATCCTATTAACATAAAAGGGTTACGACAATTATAGCAGGGGCAGTCGAACGACCGAATGATTCCAAATGCGTCAGAGGTGTCACAAATGGTTTTTTCATGCTTTAGAAAAAAAGAAAAAGAAAATAAAAAAATAAAAAAAACCTAGGTAACAAAATTCTGGGTAAGCTAGTAGAAAATTCAGAATATCCTAGACATATGGAACGCGGTTATCCGAACTTTTTACCCCCGAGCCTTACAAATATGTTGGAAAAAATATTTTCTCCTTCGAAAGGTGATTCTACTAAAAACAAAGACAAAAAATTCGTGTCTCTGAGTTAGATATAGTTGCAGGAACAACTATCGCTTACAGACAATCAGCAATAAAGAAATAGAGGGATCAATAAGTCGCAGATATTGTGATCTTGTAATGTATATAGAGCTATCACGAAATGTATACAAAGAACCCAACAAACAATCCTTATTGACGGGATAGTAATATGAGTTTATATGAGCCTTGTTCACAATTGACATAGATATAGACAACGACTTGTATATTCACTAAGGTTGACCCAGGATCGGGAGAGTGGGGGTAACTGAACTGGGCGGTGAAGCTTATAGGTCTCATGTAAACACTTACAGATGTACTTACGTCGAGGAGGTTACCGGGTTAGCGAGTTTGTGGGGTTTTGAAGCCATTTCGAATTCGTGTAAAAACCTTCCAAACCCCCCAAAATGGTGATACACTCTTTAAAACCTTTTGAGGAAGTTCTTCTCTAAGTTTTTAGATCCGGATTAAACTTCTGTGATTTCTCAGCTTCTTTAACTTCTATAATTTGCTTTGCAGTTTTCTTGTTTAGCGTGCCATTTCAATTTTACCTGTTCTAGTAACTTTGCTACATATATTGCTGAAATAGTAGCTTCATTGTACAATGTATACGTACGGTGGTGAAACTTAACCATAAAATAATCCCTCTTTGTCAAAATAACTTTCTGTTATTCATGTTATTGCCAACTAAAAGCTGTAAGAAGTTGGATGTATTTCTATTATCCTAACTTGTTTTCCTCTTTATTCTCACAAATGGTTTGTGGGCGATAATGGGTATAAATGACTCATGACCGACAAGTTATCGACAAGCAAGCAAATTATTTATTCAAAAACAGTGTTGTAACGTGATGCGGCAGATTTTAGCTAATTACAAAACCAATAGCTCCTCCACGATAGGCGGAATATACGCAATCTTTTTTTCCTGTTTCTCAATATCTCTGTATAGTGTTTAATCAATCGTATAATAACAGACCGAACTGGACTCGACTAAGTTCTGTGATGAAGAATTTAAAGGATCACAGTATTTTTTCATCAGCAGGGAGTTTGGGCGACGGAAATGAGATCAATCATAAATTACAAGAGCCCCTTTTCTTCTTTAAATGCGCTACCTTCTCCGACTTATTTAGAAAACAACACTCAGATTAACAATTTCAAAACAAATCGAATATATATTCTACATGGCCCAGAGGTCCAATCCTTCGTCTTGATTCAGAGAAGGTTTCTTTGTTTGATTGTGATGTCCTCCTTGACGCGGCGCCTGATGCACACTGGAAGCAGAGGAGTTATTTGTGACCTTAATTGTAGTTAAATTTTACAGTTGAGTATCGCCTCTGTTTATTGTAGAATCGAATACGAACTTGACCTATCAAACCGTAATGCGATCGTGTTACTAATCTCGTGAAATATTTTCCAATGCTTGGTGGGAACGAACATCTTGGAAAGCGGACCTTTCTGAGCGAGGCAGTTGTTACTCGTGGACAATCATTACCTTCAGCTGTTTTTCCAGAGCGTTGGATAATATTTACCAGGTTTGTAACACGATCGCACAGCTGATCCAATGACGGTTTGTTCGATTCTGCAGTATAGGGAAAGACAAAGGCGATGCGCGGTATCAACTGTAAAATTTAACTACAATTCAACAATCAAGGTCACAAATAACTCCTCTGCGATCAGTGCCCGATGGTGTGATTTTCGTCCCTGAGTCTTAGAAATTTGTTTGCTAATGTGAAAGAGAAAATTACGCCTGATGTAAGTACTACCGATAGAGATTTGAATAAACTCTCTTTGGTTTGTGGTTTTTCCTGTAATTGTTGTTACGGTTTTATTGGGCGTGTTCAAAATCCTTCTTTGTCTTCGCTGCCTACCGGAAGCTGGGGTGGGTTTATTGCGTAGGTTTGTTTCTATTTCTAAAACCAAGACCTCCAAGACCTCGAAACCTTTAAAGGCGATGTTACACGGGACGATTCGCAACGACTATTTTTAGCGTAACACAGCGTTGCAATGTTGGAACAGTGTTGCAATAACCATTTGAAACAATGTCGCAACAATGTTGTTGCAACGCTGTGTTGCGCTAAAAATCATAGTTGCGAATCGTCCCTTGAAACATCACTTTAAGACCTCGAAAACTGAAAGGTTTAATGCCATCTACTAAAAATTCACCAGTAGTAACTACAAGTTTTAGCATCACACCGGGGTGATGATTGCTTGTTTGTATTTTTTTTACATTTTATTATCCAGCAAAGTCCATTTTTCGTTCGAAATGCCAGAAACTAAAACGTCTATTCTATACGTTACGTGCATGACACGGCCTTCAACTGAAACGAAACACGCAAACCAACTGATAACACAAAGGCGAACGAAATATAGAAATATATGGCACATTATTACATGGAAATGACAATACTGGATTTTCATTTTTCTTTGTGAAAAATTCAAGAAGAATTATGTCGTTTCGCTGAATAATCTTTCCTAGGGCCAGGGGTAAAAAGGACTTAAACCTACTGTTAACCGGCAGTTTGGGGATGGGGGCTACAATGTTATTAATTACCCATGGAGGAAGGAAAACTTAGAGGAAAATGTAGTAAATGACATGTAGTGAATCTATCATTATCTTAAAAATGTATTTGTCACATATTTGTATTTTTCGTTTCGCTTGCGGTGTCTTGCTTCGTCCCTTTGCAAACGAGTTTTACTTTCATTGTGATGCAACGTGTTTTTTAAAGATTCCGAACAAAAGTGGACAAAATCTTGGAGGATAAAGAGATACTATCTTTCTTACAAAGTGGGTTACCATATTTAGAAGCATTTTTATGCAACACTTTTTAAGGTGTTGGTTTTCGAGTTCGCTAGTTTTTTCAGCGGATTACGACGCAAAAGTCTTTGCAGGATATAAACGGTATTGGTCAGTTTTAAAAGCGATAACGAGCAAACCCGCCTCGTTACAGCGTCCCAAGCAGTGTAAATGACCCTCCTACGTTTTAGTGACGTGATTTTAGGAGGCTCTAGTCATGCACGTGAGTGATCCAAAACAACTTTTGTGTAATGTGGATTACCAATTCGTGGCATTGACCCAACGTAGGATCTCTGTTTTATTGGTCTTATGTCTTACTGGACGAAGCACTCGAGATATCGTCTTTTTGCTCAGTTTCATGGGGCTCTTATGTATGTCACTTGTCGGTGATGTCCCTTTCAGTTATTTTACTAAGATATTGGTCTTGTAGGTGAGAAGTGGTTAGAAAGGATTAATGCGCGAGAAACAGATAAACTTGCAAATCAGTTATATAACGTGATGCGGCAGATTTTGGCTATCGCTAAATATAGGCAAATTCAAAACCAATTATTGGTTACATAATCTTTTTATGTTTCACAATATCAAGGAGGGATTTAAGGAAATCAAACAATTTACTAAACTTCAACTAAAGTGTGAAACCACAAATCAATGTGGTTAACATTTCTTAAACGCAGGTGGTGTTGCTTCGTCTTCATTCAGTGATTCTCAACCGAAGGGGTTAACCAGAGCCTCATTCACATCAAAAACATGTTTAAAAGTTTTTTTTTTAGTAAAACATAGCCGGTTTAAATTTGTTCTTTAAAGCTGCTTACTATACTTTTATCAATTGGATATTGAGTGCTATTACGTAACGTGTTCATTATGATTGAGTGTTTAAACTGAGCCGGGACTGTTCTAGTTTTTCGTCACTATAATTTTTCATGAAAAAACAATCTAAAAAAACAAACAAACAAACAAACATGACAGGGGCACCCAACAAGAATATTGTTCAAAACCGCATAAACATAGCATTGTTAAACGTATTTTAGTATTTAAACGATAGATATAGGCATACTTTTATTCCCTGAAAATTTTTCATCTGTTCGGATTTCCTAGCTGAAAGTCTAGTGACCCGGAAATTACGGGGATCAAAACTTACCTTTTCGAAAATTTCAGCCAGAAAAAAGGCTCCCGAAAATTCAAGGTGATCTTTTTAGGGTAAAAATCCGTTAAAAATGGGCAATTATACCATTTTTTAGATGTTCGAAAATCCTAGGAGAGGCAGGCAAGCAAGAAATTTTACAACAAATGTTCCGAAAATTCTAGATCTCAAATCGTCTTCCGAACAGATATTTTCCGAAAATTGACGTTGGGTGCCCCTGACATGAATTTAGTATAAATTTGCTTGCATGTAAGTTATAACTGATTAATATTGTTTCAGTATTTTTTATTGTCGGTCGAAGATTGTTTATGGAAATGACAACTCAATCAAGCGGCTTTCGTCCGAATTCAATTGTGCGCTAAATTTCACAAAGTTGACAGGGTCAGATACGATTGATGAACAAGTGACTCATTGTTTACAAAACATAGTCGCTGTGTACCCTCCATTTAGTTTCTTGAACATGCACAAGGACTTGGCAAAACTATACCGCATCCAAATATCCCCACAAATGTACGGATAAAGGTCTTACCACCGATTCACCGATTGAATCATCCCGAGTAGAAGCGTCAATCGCCTACCCGAGCTACTTTGGGTGAGCCAACGTTTCCTAAATTTCCTACAAACCTTTGCGAACTGTTTACATGAGAAACGAAACGTTGTTTTGGCTGGAAGGAAGATTCGCCTGCCGTGTCACCCCTTGATGGTAAGGTCATCTTCCGATCCGTAGGGCCAACTAACTAATTTCTCCGTATTAACACTATGGATTGCCCCAGGAGTGTCAAATCTGTCAATGATCAACGCGACCATAGAAGACAAGGCGAAGCATGCGCGTAAGCTGTTGGCTTGGGACAAAGGTGTCAATTTTTTCTCATATTGTTTAAACGCTCGCTAAAATTGAATCGGCCATAAAAAGGAGCCAGTAACAGACGTTATGAGGTAACGACTAAAGTGTAGAAGCTTGCGCGCAGAGTGGATAAAAATTTCTTTTATCAAAAGAAAATGAAAATAGACGGAAATTTCAAACTACTTCAATTGACAATTAGGCGAACGACAGTACACAAACAGCACATAGCTGGTTAGAGAGGTAAACTTTTACATTTTGCTAAATAGGGTTGATTTTGAGGCAGGGTCAGTTGTTGGGCTTCAAAATCTTTTCTTAATCAAAATACGGTCGATAAAGCTATGATAGATTTAAAAGGAAAAAAAATCACGTATTACTATAAATTGTGTTTCACCATCTATGAAATATATTCTGTGGAGTATATTTTCATCCATATGAAATGTTTATAGCAGTTGTTTTTCTCTAGACCTCATAATCATGATTGAGGCTGATTTTTCAATGTTTTCAAAGAAAATAATCCACTTTTAAATGTATCTGGCAAACTCTTTATTGAATGCATCCGGCTGCGGCTTAAGTGAATCACTAAGCGTTTAGAAAACAGGACTGAACACCATCCTTGCTTGACAAATTACGCTTTGGCGTAGCTTGCATGACTGTTAACTTTATAGTTACACGTCAGACAGGTTAGGATGTATTAGATGTAGATCAATTGACCTTAAATGATAGTTTCAATTTTTAGATTCGCTAAGCGTTGAAAAGCGAGTTTTTGACTCTACTGATTGACTCGGTGTGAGCTAGCTCGAGACAGATGGCTCAATTTTTAACACTTGCATGACTGTGCTCGTGGACGAAGAGCGATTTTCCGGGTTAGATAGTTACTTACGGTTTGGAATCTACCTTGGCTTGTTCAATCTTGTGTAAATGATTGCCCCCATAAAATCTCATATCAACGGGTTTTGGCTTATTACGTGAATCACTTAAAATTTTATTGTAAGAGTAAGGTGAATTAATAGCTAGAGAGGGATTGGAAGGAATGATAGCGACTATCGTGCATTTCTTCCAGTGCCTCTCTCGATCCCGGCTGAGAAAGTCTCGGTGATTACGCTGATGTAAGCATGATACAGCTTTTAAGTAAACTTCTTTTGGTCTGTGGTTTTCCTTTTTACCGTGTTGTAGTGCAGAGAAATGTGCTTTGAAAAACATGACAACAATCCCTCTTTAGAATATAAAATACTTTCAACTGATACGTCTCGATCTTTCTCAAACCAGCTGGAAACTGGACTGCGTTGGATTTTGTATTTCTTTTTTTGTCTTCTTTTTTCATTCTGCAAAGATATTGGCTGTGGGCGGTAATGATTAAACATGATTTATGACCGAGAAATTATCAACAATCAAACAATCCGGCAAACCAGTGTTGATGCGGTAGAATTTTTCCTTCGGAACTTCACTGAAACCAATATAAGCTGATTCGTAATTCTTTTGTTGGTGTTTAGCAATCTCACTGAGCATCCATCAATCTTGAAATGCAAAAAAAGAGTTCGCAAATTCATTACTTCTACTAATATGCACATTATCAACGAGGTTGGATTTACGTGGTCTCTTCCATTTCTTTAAACTCCGACAGACACTTTCCTTTTTTTAAGACGCGCGACTTTGACAGAAA